TCATATTAGCAAAAGCAGCTGAGGTGCTAGCGTACCCCATCGCGACTCTGTTCAGGCGCTCTCTCGATGAGGGGAAAATCCCTGAAGACTGGCGTACAGCTCGTGTGACACCCATCTTCAAGAAGGGGAGCAGACTCCAACCCAACAATTACAGGCCAGTCAGCCTGACGTGTGTACTGTGCAAAGTAATGGAAAAACTTGTGCGTGAGCACGTGGTGCTCCATCTTCAGGCCAACTCTCTTATTAGCAAAAAGCAACATGGATTTGTGGACGGGCGTTCCTGCACAACGCAGCTTCTTGACGTATTAGACAGGTGGACTAAAGTGCTCGACCTTGGTGGTTCAGTGGACGCAATTTACTTGGACTTCCAAAAGGCCTTCGACAGTGTGCCGTATCAACGTCTGCTCAGTAAGGTAAAGGCCTACGGAATTGGTGGCAAGGTGCATGGGTGGATCAGCAATTTTTTGACAAATCGTACTCAGCGTGTGGTAGTGAACGGCTCACATTCAGACCAGGCATCTGTCATCAGTGGTATTCCTCAAGGATCGGTCTTAGGACCAGTGCTCTTCATGTTGTACATTAACGATTTGCCTGGATGCATTCAGAGTGACATGCGTTTGTTCGCGGACGATGCAAAAGTATTCACAAGAAGTGATAGTGAATCCGCCACTGTGGTGCTCCAAGAAGACATCAATAGACTGCTGATGTGGTCTGAGCGGTGGCTGCTACGTTTCAAGTATATTGACTACGCGAGTCGAACTGACAATAATAAAATGTAAGACATGTCCGGGTTACTTCTGACCCTTCCGGTTGTCCGCCTTGTCGGATACGGAACGTACGGTAATCGTAAACTGCGGCTGTTATACATACGAAATGTAAACAGACGGTGTTCAGTGTTGCCATATGACTTTGGAGAAAATTTCTTCTAAAATAAAGACGGCCGGGATTGCGCGAACACGTGCGCGAAGATAATAATTTTCATTACATTGCGCCAACTGTGCACAGCAATAGCTTAATAAAAGTGAAAATGCGCAGGAACATAGTGACAAAGCAGAGAATTTTTTAGACTCTCCCTTAAGTTCATTTTTGAGTCCTATAAGTAGACCAGTAAAGTATCATGGATACCAGCATTATCATACTTAAGAAATTGGTTTAAATCTTAAGTTTTTGAGGAAATTAAAAATGAACTGATTCCAAAAAAGCTCTGGTTTGCCACTATGCGCGGGAAAATTCACCAAAAACATACATCATCCTGACTCCTGAGTGTGGCCCCAGTGTCAACTCATTCAAGTCTCGCCTGGACGCTCACTGGTCTAACCTAGCCACTAAGTACGACCCGGACTGCTATCACTAAACGGAGCCCACCACGCACGTTGCTTAATACGACGTATCAGTGTATCACCATGATTGGTGAACAGGCCTCTAATAACTAAATAAGGCCTTCAACACCTCAACCCATCAAAGTCAAAGTCAAAGTCAAAGTTAGGTATCTGTCATTTTGGAACTGATCAAATTATTTTAGGTACTTGATCAATTTGAATATATGAGCCACCATATTTAGAATTCTACCCTGCTTCCAGGCTTCAGCCTTTCAGTCTTCAGATGAATTTCAGCACTTCAGAGTTTAGGGGCAACTGGCAAGGGCTTCAGGCATCAGGCTAAATAAAATCTGCCACTATATCTAGCACTCTAGCAGCAGTGCAGCACCAGCATGCAATGTTTTGATTGATACTTTGTACTGTAGAATGTAGATTGTAGTTGCAACTTGCAAGTGTCACTTGCTGACTTGCACTTGCAACGGTAGTTAGTACCAATGCATGATATATTCCAAAACATATTTAGTAGACGGTATTTTATCTAGATACTATTGTAAATTAATATGTCCTAAATGCTCTCCATAACCCATACTAAAATTCGTTTGACAATGTCAGCTTCACCGTCACTGTCAGCTTCATGTCACGGTCAGCTGCTGCAAGCCTGCAGCAATGCAACACCAGCCGCAAACAATAACTGAAACATGGCACGTCATGGCAAACGCCGCGATTTTATTCCGCGATCGTTGGAAGTTAGCCTCGAGTAAAAATTTTACGTCTGCCAACCGTAAAATAAAAAACATTTCATTCAGAAATAAATGGTTAACCTGAATGCGAGTGTGAAGATCATTCAAAATCGAATAAGTTAATTATATGCAGAGCATAATTATATACTTTACATATTTAGTTGATCAGCTAACTAGGTATATCGCATAATCTCTGGCTGTAAATAACACTTCTTCCGCACTTCTAGTAAACGAATTTCTGTGAAGAATTTTAATCACCGATTTTCCACGCATTAGATTGCGAAATAAAAAGAGGTCAAGTAAAAATTTACTTCTAATAATAAGCTTAGGATTGTATGAATTTATATATATTCACATTTCCCTGAAATGTTTATGTAATTCTTCATGCCAAATGTTGAATTAATGAATTAATAGATAAAAACTGGGCGTGGATCTGAAACGGGTCTAATTAGTGTAAAACAGTCAAAGATCCAAATGACGTGTCGCTTGTCACAATTTGCAGAAGTTACCCTTTTCGTAACAGACGATGGTGTAATCAAAACGTCATAATTGCGACATTTTACAAATTCAAAAACTAAAGACCCTTTTACGTACTCTGCACGACTACGTGCAATTAAAATAAAGGGGACGTCTTAATATATTGAACATGAGTCCCAAATATATTAATCACGAGCCCGTGCGATTAAAGAAAATGAAAGTGTTATGTCGTCCAAATGGTGTTTAAATTCTTACCCACAAGATTTTTTATCGAGATTGATCATCATTCCGTACGCTCTAAAAAAATGAATGGCCTAAGTTGCCCAAATAGCGATCCTCTTTCTAATTATTACCCACAGGTCAGACACAGAAAGGACGTAACACTGATTCGCCCGCCTTCGTGCCGGGCTAAACTGGGTCAAGAGGACGTGTGCATCATTATTTAGACAAGGTCGCACTCATATCTTCGGCTTATAGTTATATGATATGACTGCACATGACTACATAGTCATATGAATAAGATATATGGCCACATATAAGCCAGTGAGCTCGACGACTTCTGAGTTTCGGAATAGTTTCATCGCAATGAATTACAAGACGAGCCGAGAAATGTCAGCAAAAAGAGGGATATAGTTCAAGAAAGTTCCCAGAATAGAGTGAAAAACCAACCCGACTCATTAATTGTCCCTGAATTTAAAACTTGCATCCCGTATATTAAAATACGTTATGCGAGATATAGATACAAAATAAAAGACTTTTGTATAGTATCTTCGGCATTGAAGAATAGGCCTGGATAGGAATTGTCTCACATATTCGAGACAAGACGAGATATTTCATCACAATTAGTGACAAAATAAGATATGCTGAAGGCGCCTATTAAAGATTACATGTTAACCCTGGAGATTTATTGGGCAGTTGGTCATACGTGGCGACTTTTACCTGCTAATAAAATTGTGCTATTTCGTTAATGGTTAGACTGATAAAATTGCTGTTAAGCCTTTATCTCATAACGTATATCATCTTATTCACTTGGGATGGTCGCGTTTAACGTCGACAGTACAAATTCAGTGCGCGATTCGGATGTAATGGCAGCAGCGTGGGCGAGTGGCATCTTATATACATATCCCTTGGGCCCCGATGTATTAGCCATTACTGACGGCCACAATCAGGCGCCACTAGATTATTTATCGACCAGTAAGCTTCTACCATTGTTTGCAGTTCAAAGAACCTAGATAGGAGAAATGATTTCGAGCCCAGCATCCCTGGGACCGTTCAGTTCAGAACCGGCGAGCGGCCGGGTGGTTCACTCTAGCAAGATTGGAACGTTGAGTTGCGGGCTCGAAGCCTAAACAAGCTGTGAGAATTCGGGTATGCATACAATATATCAGACTTGGCCTATTAAAAGCTGACACCACCACTACTAATAACTACTATACAATAAAATCAACGGCTTCCAGTATATTTTAGAGTGTGACCGCCGGTTACACCGAAGAGACCGAAAACGGCCGACTGGTTAGGTAACTGGTTGAGTCTGTCATTATTCTTTTGCATTCCGTAACACGACAACCGCAATTATAATAATGACTCCTACAGCAATTAAAATAATCGAATCGTACCGCACAACGAATCGAAGGTATGACATTAACAGGCAAGTAAATTCTTATTTATCAGATGTGCATCAACAGGTGAAAGGGACTTTGCTTTCCTCAAAATGCATCAATGTAACCTCATAAAATAATATTTTACTTCGGTTGCGAACTCAACTATCCTGAACATAATCGTATTCTTCTCTGCGCGTACCCACTCGCTGGTTATCGGCTCCTGAATTTCTAAAGTATCTAAATTTCAACGAAAAAGAACTGTGTTGATATACATGAAATGAAAAAAAAGTTCATGATAGCTACGGTTATTGATAGAACTTAAACTTTGCAAAGAATCTATTTAGAATACTTCAAGGGCAAGATTTTTTTCAAAGCACATAACAAGAAGAAATCAGCCAGGGCCCAACAAATCATGGTAAAGATCAAAATGTTGAAATGGGCTCTTCGCAATCATCTCAATGATTTGATCGCACCAAACTTCTCTCAGTTGACAATCGTTCGAAGACTCCATGCAATGATCACGAGATGGATGAAAATGATCGTACACAAATATAACTTGATGTTCACAATTGTCGAACAATTGCTTGATCAAAAGTCACAAAGCAACCAAAAAAACTCATAAGAAGAAAATGAATTACATGTTGCTATAGCAACCGCGGTCGCTTGTTTCCATGGCAACGTCCGCTTGGATGGGCCGCAGTTGACAGCGCGACGTAGTTATAAGCCACGTAAGAGAATACGAACAATAGATAGGACCCCAAGGGGTATTGAAGATTCCGAAGGGGTATCTATCTAGCGATTATTGAAAAAGAATGTAAAAACGCGTTTATGACGATTTCTGTTATGATTTGTATGGAGAAGTGATGGCAGCTTCAGTTCGCCTACCCTCATTTGATGAGCAAGATTTTATCGGGCCCGAGGGCCGAGAGTTACTGGCCTCCTTGGCTGAAGTGGAGGCTGAAGTGAAGGTACAAAAGCTACCCTCACTCCTCCCACGCGTAGTGCCCAGGGGAACACAACCCCAGGGGAAAGATACGTTCAAAAAACTGAAGCAGAGGCCAGGGCCTGGTGCTTTACAGGGTTCCGTGAGAACAAAAGAAAAAAGATCTACAAAAACTGCCAAAGAATCGCCAAATCTTGAAACTAAATCTAATGATGGAATGTTCCAAATGTCAGCAGCTGAAGGGAAGAATGTTTCTTTCACACCTGGGGCTGGGATGCAGGCAGACGAGACTGACACAGGAAAATTTCCTTTCCCAGCAAATGAAATGGAACTTGACTCGGGCTGTTACGATGGGGTGTTGAGTATAACAGAGTTAGGACAGTTTCATCCATACTTCACTCCACTGGATGAGGATTTGGACACAAAACTTCGCAAGTGGAGCAAACGCCAACGGTCTCAGGTATGTCTTGGAATTAAAAGTATTATGTAAAAGCTCTTCTAGTCATTAATGCCGCTTTGTTTACATTTATTTTAAGTATTTTGCGTTGATTTTGAAGATTAGATTTAGTACAAAATTTTAATTTTTTCCTCTTTAACATAACAAGAGATTTGAGCAACAACAATTTTAATGAATGTTTAAACTATTGTGATTTTTTCAAAATATAAAACGCACAACGTAAGACGGCCGAGGTATTTGCAGAAGGCTCTTAAACATTTTCCTTGAAATCCTTTCCTTAGATGAGCCTATTTCAAACTCAGTAGGTCTCAAATAAATGGACTGTTTTGCGTAGAGTGCAGTTGAATGTGACACAAATCACTCGCCAATAACACTGATTGCTCCTCTAGAGACACTCACTGCTCTAGGTGTAACAATCTCTTCAAATGGAAAGAAGGAAACTCTTGTCTCACGTTTTGAGGTCGCGTCTTGGCAGGTCTCGGGCATCAAGGACGATCTCGTTACTAGAAAATAAGGACAACCGAAAATTACAGAGCACCACAGTGACCTGTCCCAGTTATTTAATTTGTTCTTCTTGTGCAATCAATTAATTCGGAGCCGAAAGAGTGAACAAATGTCGGACGTCAGCCGTCACGACTTCGCTCCGGCCAAAAATCCCCATCTAGTCATTCATTAATCACCCAATCAAGACTAAAAACTTTGTTGTTAAAAACTATAAAAATAATTGAAACATAATCTAAAAAATCTCTATCACTTTCAGGACATAAAAAATTTCGCCTTGCCGCCCATCACGCCTCATCAACTCGTCCGGGAAAGAAAAAGCGGACAGCGACGTGCCCAGTCAGCCGGATCCGCACTCGATGCGATTCCGGACAGACCGAAGCAGAGGGCGAAGACATCTGTTCCGCTGCAGCAAACTGCCCGCCAATACGTGTGGGAGACGCTCGCTACAGCCAAGGAGCGGGTAACTTGAACGTTAATTGACGCAATTAACCAATATTTTAGAGAGGCAATAATTAATAATGGCAATCGACATTAATTGACGCAATTAGCTAATATTTCCAAGAGGCAATTATTAGTAAAGGCAATCAACATTAATAGACGCAATTAACTGATATGTTAGGGAGGCAATTATTAATAAAGGCAATTAACATTAATTGATACAATTAACTTATACTTTAGAGAGGCAATTAATAAAGTCTATTAACAATAATTGACGCAATTTTCCAATATTTTAGAGAGGCAATTATTAATAATAGCGAAAAATAATTGGCACAATCAACTAATATTTTAGGGAGGTTAATATTAATAAAGGCTAACAATAATTGACGCAATTAACTAATGTTCGGAGTGGTAATTATTAGCATAGGCAATCAACAATAATTGGGTAAATTTACTAAGATTTTAAAGAAGCAATTATCAAATATTGCTAGTAACAGTGATCGAGACAATTTACGAATATATTACTTTGCGGTGATTTTACTTCATCACGATATCTCGGAATTTTTACAATTAAATATTCAGTTAATTTACTATTGAAACAAACTAGAATTTGCAATTGATCTACTAAAAGGATGCGAATTAATTCTTCATGAAAAATATAATTAAGAATAAATATTTCCGGGGAATATTTAACCGGGTATCACGTCTGGGAGACAATGGCAGCTGCCGGGGAAGGGGAAGGCATGAAGGACCAACCGTAATCCATTATAGAATTTATCTATTGAAGTAATGTTAATTGAACTGTTGTATCACATTATACTTAATCATGGGATAATTTGTGCATAACAATACCCGAGCTCTCAGGTTGTTCAACTCGAACATTCAAACATGCTTAGCGTGTTTAAAAACATAAAGAAAGTCCGTTATTGGAAATAAAATATAATAGTTGAGGAATTGCTTTTCTTCAACTAAAAATTCATGCTTTTGCCTTCGAATTATAACATTTTCGATCCTTAAATTACAGCCATCTAGTAGAAAATTTTCCGAATCCACACTCTCCCAGTGGTTCGATGGAGCAATGTTGTTTGGTACCAGCTTTATTATAAACTTCTGTTCAATGATAATGAAATCGCCACATGAGTGTCCCGCAATAAATTCCTTATAAAATTGCACGATTGCGATAAACACTTGATAAAAAATAGCTGTAAATGCCTTAAGGTGGCTTTTACCTCAATAAAATATCGTTGCCGATTCTTTCCGCCCTCCAGCATCTGAACGCAGTCATTGAAGCGAAGCACCTGCGATCAAAAGCTGCCTTAGAAGCCGAGGAAGCTGAGCTCTGCAAACTCGAGGAACAAATCCAGCTGCACGAGGAGGCCTTCGATGACTTCTTGTCGAGCAACTATAAAAAAGTCGCATCGACTCTGCAGAAGTGAGCCGCTGTTTTTCATCTCTGATGAGGCCATTAATTTAATATTTCCTGCCTTCAGAGAGGTTCACATTACTATCCGCACCTTGAACTGAAGGTTTAAATGCAGAAGTGAGTCGGTGTTTTTCATCTCTGATGAGGCCACTATTTTAATATTTCCTACCTTCAGTGGGGGTTCATAATACTATCCTTACCTTGAAAAGAAGGTTTATGTAAATGCAGAAGTGAGTCGGTGTTTTTCATCTCTGATGAGGCCACTATTTTAATATTTCCAACCTTCAGTGGGGGTTCATAATACTATCCTTACCTTGAAAAGAAGGTTTATGTAAATGCAGAAGTGAGCCGGTGTTTTTCATCTCTGATGAGGACATTATTTTAATATTTTCTGCGGTTTATATTACTATCCTTACCTCGAAAAGACGGATTAAAGAGACAATCAGATTCATTTGGCTTTTTTTAAGGACTGACTTCAACAGAGTTTAGATTCCTTGCCTTCATTTGAGAATAATTCTTGCAGTAGCGGGCAGGTTTATTTGTTGCTTTTATAAAAAAGCTTTCAGGAACTGACAGTTTGTTTGGCTACTCATGCGAAAGAAGAATCTCATGATTATAACACATTCTTCATCAGCAACCTGTCTTCAGCTCCTCCTAGATGTGTTTTTTTTCTATTATTTAATGTTAACTGCATAATACTAACATTCTTAATGGGGATGCATTCTGTGATTTTTCTTTCTTTGAGCGGTACTCTTTAGTCTAGGAAATAAACAGAAATTTACTTATTATTTTATATTAAAAAAGCTTTCATAAAGTAGGAGTATGTATAAATATCCGTCTGAATACTCAACTGCGTTCTGATCAAAGGATACGATTTTAAATAAATTTAAGAAATTGTGAACTGTAACTTGATCTACGTCAGAGTTTAATGCTTGGAAACCCGTATTATTTCAAGTGCAAGCGACCTCAGTTTCAACCTCAGTTCACTAGGAGCGTGTTAATTGCCGGCAACTAGTTTGTTGAAAACGAGAAATGAATTCCAAATGCTGTGGTTTTAGCTTTGATCAAAATTGAGTATTGAATGTTTCAATACTAAACCGTAGATTTTTCGAAGTAAAAATATGATGACTGAAATTCAATGCGATATGAAAAACGGTGCTATCTTTTCACATTGGATTCATATACCGTGGATGGCCAATATTTTTTTGTGCAATCAATTTTGCTGAATAATCTTGAACTATACCAAGGAAAATGCTACATTTAAACATTTTTAACATTTAACATAACAATTACATTTTTAAGTGGCGAAACGATTCAATTGTTCCAAGTACGAATCAAGCTGCTAAGTTATGAATATTGAAAAATTGCGATTAAATAAAAATTAAATCCATCCCAATTAATAACTAAATTTCAATTTAAATTCATCCCAATTTCATTACTAAGATTCAATTTTTTCCACTTTTATTACTGAGAAAATTTCATTACTAAGAGATTAAATTTTTTCATGTATGAATCTTGCTGCTGTTATTAATTTTAAGCAAATTTCAAAAAATCAAAAATTAAATTAATCCCAATTAATTGTATTCATCACTAAGGACGGCAGAAATCAAGGCCCAGAAGAAGGAACAGGACGCTCGTCTAGAGTACTTCTCAGGTCTGCTGCAGGAGTCACAGACAGAGCTGCAGGAGGAGACAGAGAGACTGCAGGAGGTGTCTGCATACCACGCGTTCCTGCTGTCTGTCACTCCCTCGCAGACATATGCAGACCTGCAGAGAGCGCTCAACAGACGGGTAATATTTGTGTTTCAAAGACTTCATTGATAAACATGAACACATGACCGATTCAAAATGCATAGGTCTGCGAAAATCGCAGACTTATACAGACCTGCAGAGAGCGCTCAACAGACGAGTAATATTTTTGTCCCAAAGACTTCATTGATAATTATGAACACATGATCGATTCAAAATGCATAAGTCTGCGAAAATCGCAGACTTATACAGACCTGCAGAGGGCGCTTAACAGACGGGTAATATTTTGCCCCAAAGACATCATTGCAAAATGTGAAAACAAGAACGATTCAAAATGCAGGTCGAAAAATTGCAGACATATGCAGACTTGCAGAGAGCGCTCAACAGACGGGTAATATTTTTGCCCCAAAGACTTCTTTGATAAACATGAACGCAAGATCGATTCAAAATTCAGGTCGTAAAATTGATTCGAATCCGATTTGCGTAAAAGAATATTCATGTCCCAGACTAACCACGTCTTTTTGTATGAAAAATTCAAGTTTGTGTCTTACCATGAGGTCCGAAAAGAACGAAATTTGAATTATTTTGTCTTGTTTTGTACACAAGGCTGCTACCTACTACACCCGAGTTCAAATGAGGAGAAATGAAGCCGAGCAGCCGTTCTCAATGGCTTCATTAGACGCGCGTTTTATGTTCCTATACAACCATTAATTTTCTGGCCAAAAACAGAGGATTTAGAGCTCAGTTTACGAACGCGGTAGAATTGGTCTGATTTGAAGCTCGAGAATCATAAATGCGTGATAATATTGAGGATCAAATTTAAACTAATATTATAATACTAATTTATACGTAAATTATATATGTTATGAGAATAATGCAAAATAAATTTTTAAATGAAGAGGCAGGGAAAGGTTTCGATGAAATATTTCTCTCTACATCCTTTGAAATACACCCTTCATTAGAATCTCTTTTTATAATGATAGTGAGAAACATTTGCATAAATTTATTTACAAATTTAGCAATTTTTTCATTGATTTTCCGACGTTTGTAGTAATCGAAGTTTATGCTCATTGGTTTATCACAGGCTGCCCGTAAAAAAGCTTTGGCTGAATGCAGCAGAAGTCGCTTGGTCCATGATGAGCCGCAGCACGGTGAGTGAGCCGTGACATGAGGGTGAGTGAGCCGTTACATGACGGTGAGTGAGCCGTGACATGAGGGTGAGTGAGCCGTTACATGACGGTGAGTGAGCCGTGACATGAGGGTGAGTGAGCCGTTACATGACGGTGAGTGAGCCGTGACATGAGGGTGAGTGAGCCGTTACATGACGGTGAGTGAGCCGTGACATGAGGGTGAGTGAGCCGTTACATGACGGTGAGTGAGCCGTGACATGAGGGTGAGTGAGCCGTTACATGACGGTGAGTGAGCCGTGACATGAGGGTGAGTGAGCCGTTACATGACGGTGAGTGAGCCGTGACATGAGGGTGAGTGAGCCGTTACATGAGGGTGAGTGAGCCGTGACATGAGGGTGAGTGAGCCGTTACATGAGGGTGAGTGAGCCGTGACATGAGGGTGAGTGAGCCGTGACATGAAGCCTCATGGCGCGGTGAGTGAGCCGTGACATGAAGCCTCATGGCGCGGTGAGTGAGCCGTGACATAAAGCATCATGGTGCGGTGAGGGAGCCGTGAGCCAGTATTAATGTCGCATCATAAAGTTTTAGATATTTTTGAGGCGCTGTAAGCGAGGAGTTCTGTTTGGCGTCTGAAGCTTAGCGCTCGGCCAGCTTCGTTCATATCGATTTTTGTGTGCATATCTCATGAGCAATGTTTTAATGTTTTTATTTCGATATCGGAGTTTGACAATTGGAATTGCTATTGACAGATCTGCTAATGACAGGACTGAAATGTGTAAACTGATCGGAACAGAAACATATTGAATATTTACTTTCGCGTTTCGAGAGATTCGAGGTTAACTGAAATCATAAATAAGCCAAAGTAAAAAAGTATGTTATAATGAAATCTGAAGTTTTAAAATAAATTCCTTTACAACTCCCAACCACACTATTTTATATCGTAAGCCGAAATTCGAAATTGGATATATCCATGAAGTTTGTCCAGTTTATCTGTGCTGTAAGCTGAACTTTTCCGTATCCCTTAGCACCTATACTTTGGTTTAGCCACGCATTAACTTACCTGTAGTGAGCCCTGTGGGAGCAGCGACTCATCCCTGCTTATGTTACTGCCTTGGGGGTCTTCTATTTTGCTTGAAACGGAAAAAATTGCTTTAGGCTTACAAGAAACTTTGCAATATAATTTAGTGATCGCCTTAGAGTCAGATCGGTACATGTGTTCAAGGACTGAGCAATATTTTATCAGTCATTTCAGCCTGTAAGGCTCGCCGGCCACATCCAGCCTTCGAACGTTTCGTGTGAGGCCCAGTTATTTTAACTGGGCAAGAAAATGATCGACGTCCTTACAGAGAGTTGGTACCCTGCCGTGCAGTTAATTTGGAAACAATAAACCGATATTTACACAATAAGCCACAATTACTGATTTGTGGTTTGTGATATGGTAATAACTGCGTTATGGTAATGCGGTATGATAATAACTTCTCGGTCTGCGGTTTGTGGAAGGGCGCTCTGGGAAGTTAAACAGATCACTGGGCAGTAAAAAAAATAGAATAAAAATTTGTAATAACAGCTGCAACTGATATAGATCTGTGGCTTGGCAAGAACGGGTGATAAAAGTCGTCAATGAGTCACTTTGAGCACCTGGCTCGTAGGTTACTGTGCACAGGCCAGCAATATCTATAATAACATTATAAATGCGACCCCAGATCGAAAAAAGTTTGGAATCCTGCTTTGGTGCAGCGTTGGGATCAGTGGTAAGCTCAGTGGTGGGCTCAGTGGTGGGCTCAGTGGTGGGCTCAGTGGTGGCTCAGTGGTGGCTCAGTGGTGGGCTCAGCGGTGGCTTAAGTGGTCCTTGACTCAGGACGAGAATGGTGTAATATGAGTTTACATTATAAATAAACTACAACTTACATTGAAAAATACGCAGATGTTTGAAATTCCACTAATCATTTTTGCTGAGCCCACACTATTCAAAAAATATAACTCATTAGTCACTGCAATGAGTGACAGAAAGCTCATTTTCTCAAAATCGACGAAAACTTGAAGTCACAGACAGACAGACAGACGGACAGATGGACGGACATGGCGAGGAAAAGAGCGCCTTTTTTCCTTATAGGAGAAAATGCGCTAAAAATGAATACAGACAGTAGTTTTCTGCTAGTAAAATGGCTGTTCATCCACTTTGTTGTTATGTACTCAGGCATAAACATGGTCAAGAATATTAATTCAATTTCTATCAGATATACATATTTCACGGTTAACAAAAATTGTAATAAGCCAACTTGCCCTCCAGTTACATTCCTCAATCACCTTGAAGAAGAAGTGAGAACTCTTCGTCTGTTGGACTTCAGCGATGCTGACATTTACGAAAATTATTCCAAGCACTCAACAGAAACTATCAATGATCACAAAATTGCAGCTCCTCCTCAAAGCACAAAGAACAAAACTGAACCCGTGAATAGAGATTCACGCAGGAAAGAACAAGAAGCAAATAAAAATGTCGTGCCGGATACAAGTCTAAAAATTTCAGAAATTAAAACCTCTCTGAATGATGGGGAGTTTGGACGTAAGGCCGTTGCCGGTGTTGCCTCTAGCGCCCCCACACAAACTTCCAGACATGATACTTCCATTGTTCTTGATCCTGCTTTGCCTTTAACTGCAAGTTCCATGCAGCATCGACAAGCCGCGGCAACGGTGGCAAGTTCTGAAGAGAAAGAGGGTGTTGGTGCTGCAGCTTCTGTTAGGAAGAAACCTGCTGGTCTCTCCGATGTCAATATTGAGGATAATAATAAAGAAAAGGGAATTCCAATAATGCACCCGGAATCTACCATTGAGAAGGAAGTCGAGTTCTCAGCATTCAATTTAGCTGAAGATGACCCGCCATACCTCGATGAACATGCATACGGTGAGTCCAATGTTATATTTATGTCCTTTTCCGAGTTTGTAAGGAAATTGTGAAACTTATAGAGTTCAGTAGTATAGGTTCTGAATGACCTGCATTTTTGATATGATATGATGTATGAGTCACTAGCTCTTGTGATATGATAATTCTTGTCAACTTAAATCTTTCACTCAGAACTCAAAATTGATTATAAATTTTAATTCAATTTTCAGATGAATTCCTTAAAGACCCTAGCTACCTCATACGTCTGGCTGAGCTGTACGAGAGTCAGTGTCATTCTCTGCTGACGCTTCTTGGCAGGTACGAGAGCTTCGGCATTACAGATCATGCCGATAAGTTACACTGTTGGAAGATGGCAATAAGTTACACTGTTGGAGATGGCAATAAGTTACACTGTTGGAGATGGCAATAAGTTACACTGTTGAAAGATTGCAATAAGTAATACTGTTGGAAGATGGCAATAAGTTACACTGTTGGAAGATGGCAATAAGTTACACTGTAGGAAGGTGGCAATAAGTTACACTGTTAGAAAAAAACAGTGGAAAAACGGTCTCACCGGCGTTCTAATAACCAGCCGCCCCGTGAAAATAAACCATTTTGCAGTTCTTTTTTACAACACTTCTCTTTAACTTCACTTCTTGTTTGTCTGTCTGTCTGTCTGTCTGTCTGTCTGTCTGTCTGCTACAAATCTTGTAATCGAAAAATTTTTTAATATATAATTTTTTTCAAAATTATTTATTCTATTAATTGATTCATGCATTGCCTCTGACTTCACACAAGTGTGCAAAATTTCAGATCAATCAGACAGGTAAAAGTGAGTCAAATATCAGTTATAAGATTTGTAGCTGACAAAATTATTTTTTCAATTTTTTTGATATTAAAAAAAAAAAATTTAATTTTTAAAATCTTTTATTTTGACATTTGATTCATGCATTGTCTCCAACTTTACACAAGTGTGCAAAATTTCAGATCGATAGGATAAGTAGAAGTGTATTAAATTTCGATTACAAGATTTGTAGCAGACAGACAGACAGACAGACACACAGACAGACAGACAAACAAGAAGTGAAGTTAAAGAGAAGTGTTGTAATAAAAATAAATAAAAACCAACAATGATTTTCCGTTGAACCTAAAAATAAAACGGATGTAGTATTACGCCATTATATTAGGAAATCACAAATTCCATGCATATTTGTTGAAGCCATTAACTTCAAATAAAAAGCTACGAGCTATTTCTAGCCTTGGTGTTCGTGTTTGCGTTTAACTTTTATTGCCTAACGTTCCATCACTCACCGAGGACTCCATAAATCTATCTTTATCGAGGCAAGGCTGGAGGATCACATTGAAGTCACGGAACGCGAATTGGACGCTTTGGCGCAGCGATCCAGAAATCGAGCTGAAGAATTTGAACGCCGGAGCAAACTGAGCGCCGACGCCGGGGCTGTGGAGAAACTGCGCCTTGTCCAGCAGCTTAAAAACTCATGGCCAGATCTTAGTGAACATGAACGACTGCAGCAGCAACTTAATAAAGTGCTAAGCCAGGTGGGAACTTAAATTAAGTACATAAGCTACAATGTCAAGGGAAAACGAATAACTCCCGTGAAAATCAAGAAGAATTTTTACTTCTACTCTTAGTAACTCTTAAAAAATAAGTTTTTAGTTTCCTTAACAATACAGTGGTTAATTATAATCACTTTTGCTCGCGTAATCATTAGGGATATGATTTGCGTGCAGGAATCACGTTTGTTCCTTGTGCGCAGTGAAGAAAATTATTTGAAATTAATTTTCAATTAATTTTAAATTAATAAATTCAAAAATGAAAATAAATTTAAATAAATTATTTAATTGAACAATGCTTATCAGAAGCTCCTTTCATTCCCTTAGGTATTTTTATGGAGCTAATTCTTCCTTATCAGACTCAGCCTGCGACCTTTAGCCGCTGGAATTACGAGATCACGCCCAGGACATAGGGAAGGCTGTATAAAACTTGTCTAACTTTCTCACGGGGAACGGAGCTCTAAAGTAGCGTCGGAATTCTTATGGGGCTTTAAGACGAACTTGTGAGCACATTAAGAATTAAACCTTACTCTTCCTGCAGAATAAAGCTTTATTTTTTGTTCAGTTTTCAAATGCTTTTTGCCATGAAGGATGGCATGTATAACTTCCGACTCACTTAAGTCAGCTGGGAGCTGAAATACTCAACTGCCCTGAGGATATTTGAGATGTTCTGTATCCTTAAGAAGTAAATTTAGGATCTCATGTTGTCTTTAAAAGGCTCCACGGAAATGATGATTGATTATCTTCATAATGGAAATACCATGTGTTGAAATGTTTACTTTTACTCCAAGATTTTCGTCTAAAACAAATGGTATGCGAGATTGGTGGAGTAAGCGACTTTAACTTTAAAAGTAAGCGACTATAACTTTAAAAGTAAGCGATTATAACTTTAAAAACGCTCGTAGAAAATGTTTCTCTAATCACAAAATTTTTTCGTTCTCTAAAGTTTTGACTTTTATATTTGATGAGAAAGAATCATTGGAATTAGGAATTTAAAGATTTATTTTTACACTTGCTGATCGGAAAAATCGAGTGATTATTAATTGATCGAGTGATTATTAATCGATCGAGTGATTATTAATTGATCGAGTGATTATTAATCGATCGAGTGATTATTAACCGATCGAGTGATTATTAATTGATCGAGTGATTATTAATCGATCGAGTGATTATTAATCGATCGAGTGATTATTAATTGATCGAATGATTATTCATTGATCGAGTGATTATTAATCGATCGAGTGATTATTAATCGATCGAATGATTATTAATCGATCGAGTGATTATTAACCGATCGAGTGATTATTAATTGATCGAATGATTATTCATTGATCGAGTGATTATTGATCGATCGAGTGATTATTATTCGATCGAGTGATTATTAACCGATCGCGTGATTATTATTAAAGAGTAGTGCTGTCATCAGCATGAATTCAGATGAAAGCTGTTAGTGATTGGACTCGACAGAGCGTGCACAATACCGACATTAATGAGGTACAATTTTTCTACATAAATCTAAAAAGACTCATACGAAAATATGCTTACCTGCAATTGTTCTCCGAATGCCTCACCAAGGCAGTGTCATAAATCATGTACATCAGTTGCAATGACACTAAATTAATAATTAATTAATTTAATTTCTATATTACTAATTAATTAATTTAGTATTAACGAATTAAAAATTAATCAATTATTAATTTCAAATAATTAATTAAAAATTAATAAATTTTTAATTATTATCAATTACTGAAAAAATGAAAAAATTTTTAATTTTAATTAATTAATTAAATTTACTCATTATTCATCAATATTTTTCAAGATTAACATATCAATATTTCTTATCAATCTTATCATTACAGGTGATGGCCGTGGTGAGCGAGGTGCTGGCAGGGCCGGACGGTGCGAGCAGTTTACTGCAGACGCAGCAATTCTTGTCTGCCTCGGACACCGACTCTGGAGGTGATACACTCAGGGATATAAGTGGGTACTTCTTACTCTTTTGTGCGTCATACCGACCTAATCTGAGCGTATCAATGAACGCTAAGTCTTCTTTGTTCAGGTGTGTGGGTGGATGTGGGAATTTTGGACACGGTGATCCATTCATTTTCTTAGACTATGATCTTTCATCATATACGTATATTTACTTATATAGTACCTATATTTTTATTCGAATTAGCCTGATGCTATATTTGAAGATTGCATGAAATAACCGTATAAATTTCTTAACGTCTTTAAATGCTTTGAATTCAATAAGTAAAATAACACTATATATATAAATATATATCTCTATATCTTGTCACATGTTTGTGTTGGTGTTGAATACCTTTGTGAAACATGGAGCCCATACTTGTCTGTGTTAGTGTTGCATGTCATTGTAAAACATGGAGCCCATACTCGTTTGTGTTCATGTTGACTGCAATTGTAAAACATGGAGCCCATACTCGTTTGTGTTGGTGTTGAATGCATTGTATAAAGCTCGTTCTTCTTGATCGTTTTCTTCTCTTCTCGTTCTACATTGAAGTATGAAGCTCGTTTTTCTTATATGTTGGTGTTGACTTTAATTGTAGAGTATGCAGCCCTTATTAGCGCATTTTCTCATTTATGTAAAAAATGCACTATTGTGCTCGCCATGTCCGTCTGTCTGTCTGTCTGTCTGTTTGTCTGTCTGTCTATCTGTCTGTCCGTCTGTCTGTCCGTCCGTCTGTCCGTGACCTCAAGTTTTCGTCGATGAGAAAATGCGAGTTATATTTTATTTAAGATGCTAATAATTTTATTTATGATGCTAAATATATTTTATTTATGATACCGCGTCTCAGCTGCAGGTGGCATGGCTGTGCTGGGGCTGCTAGAGGCTCGCTTCACGGCTCTCTGTATCCAACTTGACGCCATCGAGCCCAGGCTACGGGACAAAATCTTTCTCGTGAGACCATAAATTTTTTACATTTTACAATGTAAAATCTTGAATTTTTTACATTTTACAATGTAAAATCTTGATTTTTTTACATTTTACAATGTAAAATCTTGAATTTTTACATTTTACAACGTAAAATCTTGAATTTTTCAACATTTTACAGTTTAAAATCTTGAATTTTTTGCATTTTACAATGTAAAATCTTGAATTTTTTTACATTTTACCGTTCAAAATCTTGAATTTTACATTTTACAATGTAAAATCTTGAACTTTTTACATTTTACAATGTAAAATCTTGAATTTTTTACATTTAACAATGTAAAATCTTGAATTTTTTTACATTTTACAATTTGAAATCTTGAACTTTTTACATTTTACAATGTAAAATATTGAATTTTTTTACATTTTACAGTTTAAAATCTTGAATTTGTTGCACATTTTCTCATTTATGGGAAGAATGCACCATTGTGCTCGCCATGTTTGTCTGTCCGTCTGTCTGTCTGTGACTTCACGTTTTCGTCGACGAGGAAATCGTCGACTAACTCACTGCAGTGAGTACTGAGTTATATTTTGTATACTTCAATGTTTAATGGTATGCTGGCCAAATCAGATAAATATTATACAGAGTAATCAGAAAATCATAATGATAAAGTGCATATCTTTTTAATGTCAAATAAGCAATAATGTAAATTTCATTGTAAAGCCATGTATAATAACTGGGTATATCTTTCATTGTCTTTCAGCATAATGATCATTGAGTTGTTTTTGTGCACAATGGTTCGCCACCTCTTCCATTAATAGGTATCATTCCAATAAAACTAATTCCTCGTTAGTTGTATGCGCAGTATTAAAGCAGATTTCTTATTAAAATGCAACTTGATTATCACTTATATTTAGTTTTTGCGCTTTAAACAATAATCAGGATCGGGTTAGAATAAAAGACAATAATAAGACTCACCTTTCATTCATATATTTATATTAAATACAATAATCATTCACTTCTATCATCATTATTTGACACGATGACCAGACGACTGTTTCCCTATTGCGTCGGAAATTCCCAGCAGGCTGAGAATAGCGAATATGAGAATATTTATTAGCGTACATGTGAGGGTACATGTGAGGGTACATGTGAGGGTACATGTGAGGGTACATGTGAGGGTACATGTGAGGGTATAATATAATAAGTTGCCAGACCAGCAACATCGGCAAAAGTCTCCTGCAGCACCGCGGTGCCGTTGCTCGGAGTCTCATGTCTTTCACCGAGGGCTCCTCTAGAGACGTCGGCAAATTTCCTATGATAAGATTGTCACTTGGAAGTTCTGTTCTGTTGCGACGTATACCATGATACCCTTGCCACGCATCACGAACTGATACTTCAGAATATCCTATAATATTAAATGTTAGTGGCAGTTTAGTTCCATGAATGTAATTACAATTAGTGAAAGAATCATGTTGATTGAATTTAATAGTGGGCTTATGAGACCTGGTGTTTGTTGCATGTGGCAACTGATACGAACTTTGTCAATTTATCCCGTATTCGATGAAAAGATCAGATTATATTGTGCTCCAAACATTTTTTTCGCATTCCTGAAGTGAACGCCCTCATGTTCCATTAGTGGTTATGACCGCTGTGATAGAGCGTTCACTGTGTTGAATGGTTGTGCTTAATACAATTTAACCGGAGCTTTTCTATACGACAAACTGGGCTGAAAATAAGTTACGTTGTTCGTTTTCCGGCGCATTGAGCGTTTGTGTTGAGAATTCAAATGGAATCAGGAGCACCACGAAGTTGAATTTATGCAGTTTTTGTCCCCAAATGAATTGTGCCCGTTATTATCAATTATATTATTCAGAAGTTATCAAAACTTCTGTTTGTATAATTATTGTTATGCTTTTGTTCATATTGTTTAAAGCATTTATTTGAATAAACTAAGTGATGGAAGTTATTTATGTTGCGCTACTTTATGAGAGTAATGCAAAACCTCAGCGTGATGCGGGATTTTGATTTAATCAACATTTTACAAATTGAATTTTAGCTCAAACTTCTCACCCATGTTCGCAACCTGCTTGGTCGACATATTTTCAGAACATGCAGCTTTACGATCATAAATCATCATACAAGCAATCATCCTTAATCATCTGATGATAAGAAAATATAGAAAAATGTTGTTGAAGCACAACAGCATCGTCCCACACTAACTGATGGATTAGCTCGGCTTGAGTTTGGCATCCAGGCTGACATGTGAGCTAATCCATCTCTCATCCAGCTGAATATTCAGCGAGCAATTTTTTATTAATGAGTATATTTAAATTAAAAAAAACACGATTAGTCATAAGATTATTAATGATATCATAACAACGTCTAAAAACAGCGTTCTCCTAAAACGTTTTTGTTGATGAATTGAAAAGTCATCAGTACACAGGAAAAAAAAATGCTCGGCTTCTTACAGGATTTTTTCGCTATTTTCAGGCCGAGAAAAGTTTCGGTTACGTTAAACTTTACACGAAAAATAAATGATAAAATTCAAATTTAATTAAAATTAATGCTTCAGCTCCATTTGCATATTCCTTTATTTGAACGTAAAGATAAAACTTTGTACCATTATTGTATAGCATTAAGATTAGGATTGATAGGCTAATGCGGTGTTTGATTATCTTTTTCTAAATAGCAGGCTAAAGTTTAGTCAAAATGTAATCTTGCTTTGAATCTATACATTAACAAAAAGGAATTTTCTCTCTCTCTACGATGTTTAACAAATTAATCATTACATTTAACAAATTAATTGCTATATATAACAAAAAATTATTGCATTAATTTCAATAAACAATTGATCTATACATTATCCAGGATTGTGAGAACGAGCGCAAGCTGCTGACGAAGGAAGCGCGGCGAGCGCAAGAAAATCTGAAGCGCGCGGAGCGCAAGAGACAACATCTCGAGCGGGCGCTAGCGCCCCCCAGGCGGTGATGAGTCAGACGTCTTGACACACGCGCCCCCAGGCGGTGATGAGTCAGACGTCTTGACACACGCGCCCCCAGGCGGTGATGAGTCAGACGTCTTGACACACGCGTCTCACGAGGTTAATCGTCTTTAGTTTAATTTATTTGATTTAACTCGTTTCCTTTTTTATGTAAATCTACTTATTCCTGTTTGTGTGAGCGTTATCCGTGAAATTCAATAATGTCAACTAATAATGAGTATCACAAGTATTATGACGTTGAATTATGAGTATTGTGACGTCATCTGGCGCAAAACGAGACTAAATAAAAATTTTCTATTTTTAATTTTCAACAAAAGCGTATCATTTTTACATTACTCTATTTCAAAGATAATTTTTTGATGAATCGAGTTCATTTGTATTTCAATTCATATTTTTGCCCAAATTTCCATTCATAATATGTCAGCGTATATATCATGGTTTATATCATGATACATGTCAGCGTACATGTCATAATACATATCAGCGTATATTTCATGGTTCATATCATGATACATATCAGCGTATATATCATGATAAATGTCAGCGTATATAACTACTGAGGAACCTGCTCGGTGTGAGGCTCAGTTGACCGGTCTACTGAGGAACCTGCTCGGTGTGAGGCTCAGTTGACCGGCCTACTGAGGAACAAATAAGTCATTGTATATGAATATATTTATAAATATATAGTCAGTGTTAGTTTCAGTTCATCAGAGAAAATCTTTTGACCAAAAAGTTATTGTTTATATAATATTATAATTAATTACAAAGATATGGGCAGTGTTAGTCTCAGTTCATCACTCAATATGTAAGTAGAATGTCACGCTGATTCTGGATCTTTCTCTTGCTAATATTCTGCGCTTAGATGGAATTATTACATGATGCAAGATGGCTGAAATAATATTAAGAAAACTTTTAATAAAAAAAATACACATAATTATAATTTAGCTAAGATATGAAGAATACGTTATGATTTGTTTAAAATGTTTTGTCATCTTCATATTTTATATTAGCAATTAGCTTGATCCTATAAAAACAATTAGCTTTTTCGTGCGTTAGGCCGACACTCATCTAAACCTAAACATATAGAATTACATTTCATATTTCGGTCCTGTAGTTTATTTAATGGACAAAAGAAAGCTGCTCCTGTAACTTGAAGAAACTGTTCTGCAAAATTTACTGTTGCATGCATCGAATTAATGATATTCAATTTATTATTAGTAAAATGAATCCCCTTAACATATACTAAGCGGCTGAAATCTTCTCTGTTGTTCCAATTGAAGTCAAGCTTCAATCAAGATCAATAAGCTAGACGCATCACGTAGATATCAATTTGTAGAGTTAAATTAATGCAAGGTCGTCTAAAAATCCTTCGTGTTTGCATTTTAGGAGTTTAAACAAAGAGCGCTCGCTTCAATATATGGAAAACCAACTTCTGAAGCTCAGCCTCTCACAGAATATTGCTATTCTGATATAACGCATTTAGGATGAATAACTTTATGACTTAGAGCCGGGATCATAGCCTGAACTGATTTATTGAATTCATCAGGAATAACTTTCTAATGAAAGACCGAACTGATTTATATTTTCTTCAGCAGGAAAAACTTTTCTACCTAAATATGGAATTAATAAATTAATCTGATGAATTTGTGGGGTAAGTGCCAGTCATTACCCACACAGTAAAACAAGAATGAAAATGAAAGAGACTGGAACTGAGATTTTACTGCAAGGCAAATTAACAAGAAGGTGGGCTTTGAATATAAGTATTAAGATGGAAAAATAGTGTAAAGAATAATACCCTTGGCAACGTGCGTATCTGTTGAAGATTGAATCTAATAAGTGATCGTCGTTGAAGATGAATGAAGAGAAATAATAATACAATATAACAATTATTCAGACAATAAAAAGGAACCTATTAGAGCTTAAACTAACCTGCAGCGGAGATCAGCGGAACAATAATGACTAACGAGAAAATTGTGTGTGCGACGTTAACTTCCTACCGGTGTTGCCAAGGTATAGGTAAATCATAATTTTATTACAAAATGAAAGTCGCAAAATGTCTTAACACTACAAATTCAGCAACAATAACTTCTTCCTGAAATGCGAGTAGACTGTCTGCACCACCAGCAGCAGCAGCGGCGGCCAGACGCGAAGAGATGTATTCAAATCTGGCGCAGTTAATCCCAATTGTTTCTAACGAGGTCATTTGCATCAGAACGTCTCTTTGCAGGCTGCACGGCCAGCCCTCTAATGGCCGCTAATGAATGCACTGCGCTGGAAACTCTGCTATCGTGAATATAACTACACCTGATATCTAACTTACCTATTATAATAATATTCAGGTGTTGAATGAAGTTCTGTTTTTGATCGCGCTGATAAATTCATTTGTGCGTTGAATTTTGAATGCCTTCTTTTTAACAAGAAAACTACTTATCAGTCACCTGAAATTATTCACAGGAATTAATTGAAATTATTAACAGGAATTAAAATGTATGGACTTTATCCTGTAATTGATTTTCATTGAAAGGAGAATTTGGTTCGACGTGTCTATATAAGCACGGCTGTAGCCGCCGGGAGTCAGTGTTCACTGGGCGGTCTGGTGAGGAGGTGACGTGCGGTTTTGTGTCTTGCAATGTGACTCGACTGACGGGATGTGATCACTGGGCTCATAGAGTTTTTTCCATGCGAAAATAATTATTCATTTTATAGTTTGATAAACCAAGAAGGCACATCAAGCTTACAACTTTTGTTCAATTTGTTTATTAATTTCCAAGGTAAAATTGCAACAGTTCATGTATGAAAAACCAAAACCTTGGCGACAAATAGTGTGATAATTGCTTGTTATTTTGTTCAGTAACAAGAGATAATAACTTTACGTTACGATAAGCATTTGGCAAAAATAATGAATATCAAGAAATCAGTAGATCTTATCACACAATTAACAACTTATTAATTTTTTAAGTATAGAATTCACTGAATCGATAATGAACATCTTTGTGTGAATGAAGGAGCCAGCCAGACGTGTATGCTGTGCATTGCCACACAACGGTAAGCCATTAATATTTATAGTCTATTCAGTGAAAGCTTTATTGAATCATTAAACACGCTCCATTCAATAGCTTATTGTTTGCTATAGAGTGAAAGGGTGTAGAATGCTATAGGTGATCCTAGCCTCTATGCTAGGATCGAAAGGATGCCTAATGGATGCAATATTTCATATCACTTATTTACGAAATTTTCGAAATTTGTTCTTTTTCTTCGCTAATTTTCCTGTACGATCGATAAGCGGGCGAGAAATACTGCGATGTTTGCTTCTGAATTGCATACTTTCGAATGATAACACATATAAAATTTAAATTTTTTCAAAACAAACTATATTAAGTGGGCAACATTTCGCAAACATTTTGTGACATTTCATTGTTGATGAAATTTGACATTGTTTGTTGTTGATGAAATTTGATGACATTGTTTCATTGTTGATAAAACATTTCTATGTTTCATCAATCTGTAAACGCTTGTTATAGATACATTGTAAGGAGATATTTCAGTATGATTACATTACAATATTGTATTTATTAATTGTTCTACATTGATACTTGAAACGCTGGAAATACTTCCCATTATTATCTGTACAACTTCTAAATGTCTAAATATGGAATAACAATAATGGCGCCCGTAAATACTTCATAGAAGCTCATCTAAAGCTTGTAATTTTCAATGGACAGTGGAATTTTGGTAAAAGTACGAGAAAAAAATTGGTAACGAAGGAACTACCTGCCTGAAATGTTCTCAGGTATTGGGAATTTGACTGATAGAACTCCACGGAATCAGAGCCGAATATTTCGTTTACTTTTCAGGGCTAGACAGCGTTATTGAAAATATCGTTCCATAAAAACAAAAACGAATTGTTGATTTTGGCCTGCCATAAAGGAGAAGAAATATTATTATTCCAGTAATAATCATTTATACATTAGAATTGAATTTAATCAAGTTCGCTTTGCCAATAGCGTACCGCCCTCAGACATCAATAACAGCGATCGTTCTTCTCATCGCTGCAGATAAGGTTAGAGGTCAGAGAACATGGCTCCAACTTCAGCAATTGATGGTCGTTACGTAAACAGATCAATTGCAGTGACGTCACGTATTTCTTGATACACACAATCGCTCGTAAAGGTCAAAGGCACGCGGGGGAGGTAATGGTAACTGGCCTACGTTAGATATCGTTGATAGCTTTACAAATTGCATGGTTTTAAGTTAAATGCGATGGTGACTTGAGATTCAATGGTGACCATTGATTTAAAAGTTCCTAGTAAGAAGCTTGAAACTTTTGTCTTTTGTGTTTTTCGTCGGCAGAAATGCCAACTCAAGATGACCTTCGCAACCTCCAAGAATAACTTTATCTGATCGATATTTACACAGATTTTTAAAGTTGAAAAATTTACCCAATATCGAGTCAGATAATTACGAGATTGGGTTGATAAGTTCAACGATCACGAACTAAATACAAACAAAAAAGCTTATTCGAAAACAATTTTAAGCTTAAATTAAGATCAAGCGATCATATAAAACGTTAACTAAACAAATTACTGCTAGGACACAACCTTATTCGTTTTCATTCATTTAAGTTCTCTCATTGTTATTATCCATGCGAAACAAAGAAGTTTATATGCCGCAGTCTTAGCAAGAGTTCATCATCTTGGGTAGCTCCTTAGTTCTGAAGTTGAGCATAACTTAGTAATTAACTTCGCTCAACAAACTTATGGAATCCTAAGGTTAAGTTAATTATGATGTCACTAGTGCACTGCTTAGAAATGGTCGAGACGGCCGCCCCATTTCAAGATTTAGAAATAGGGTAGTTTATAGTGTCCCTTATATACAGGTGCTAGCTTAAATTTGTTGCCATTTAGGCAGCTTTATTTTCCGAACAAAGAAGGGCGGAGATTGGTAAAGAATGAATTTCTGAAGTTAAAAGAAAAGATGATTTTACTATTAAACAAAACTAGAGTGACAATATCTAAAGAAATTTTGAAATTTTATTCTAAAATTTTAAAATAAAATATAAATGTGAACTTTTGAAATTAAATCCTCTATAGAGTCTTCTCTAAATTTTGATTAAAAAGTTTTATATTTGGTTACGCGTCATTAGAAGACTTAGTCTTCGTCTCTGTTTGGTGCGAGCTACTCGTATTCATGCACGGCTTTATTAATTGTGTTAGAAATAAAGAAATATCAAGTCTAACGACCTCATTCTAATGCAGTCAGCTCTACTGAATGTGAGTTTATGATCAAAGTGTCGGAGAATTTA